AAATCCCTTCTGGGCAAAGATCCCAGGAATTTCCACATTAATTGCACAGCAAAAGAGAAATTGAGACCACAGTGCTCCAAATGATGGCTCCGCATCCAGCAAGGCCCCTTCCCGCTCCGCGGCCCAGCGGCTCTGGTGCGGGAGCGGGACCAGGCGCGCTGCAGCCTCGCTAACTGCCCCTGGGGAAGGCCTGAGCTTGCGGCACAGGTTGTTGCCTGGTGATTCACAGCGACGGAGGCACCTAAAACCGCAGCCGAGGAGCTGGCTGACAGGAACCCACAGCCCAGCTCTGCTTTCCCACCGGTGCTCCCAGTCCCCAGCCGAGCTCCGGGGAGCCGCTGCCCGCACTCCTGCCCACGCTCCGGCCAGCCCGAGCAGCGCCCGCTCCCTCAGGAGGAGAGGAGGAGGCGCTCACCCATGCCCTGCGGTGCCGGGAACCGACCTCCTTGGGGTGCTGAGAACACGAGTGTTCACCCTCCACCTCATCCACCTCTCGTCCTGGCGGCGGCTTTCGGAGAGATGTGCCAGGCAGTTTGTTCCCGTGGGGAGTTTGCAGCTGGCTCCTGGCTGCCTCTCAGCTCTGCAGACCCGCTCCTGGAGAGGAGGCAGCTCTAATTAAGACACGGATGGGGAAGCAGATAACGAGGGCATGTTCAAGCCTGCGGGGCGCTGCTCAGCACCCCGAGGAGACATCACTAGCCATCAAACTATCTAGACTTTAAGTCTAAATAAGGGATGAAGAGGTTGCAGCCAGGATGAAGAAGCTGAACCTCTGTTTTTTTAAGCTAGAAGATTTGCCACTGTTGGACTTCTTTGCACAGAGGCCAAGTCTCAGGCTTCATGCGTGGGACCACATGGAGTTACATAGGAGACATCACTAGCCATCAAACTATCTAGACTTTAAGTCTAAATAAGGGATGAAGAGGTTGCAGCCAGGATGAAGAGGCTGAACCTCCATTTTTTTAAGCTAGAGGATTTGCCACTATTGGACTTTGCACAGAGGCCAAGTCTCAGGTGGGACCACATGGAGTTACATTGGGCTCCTGTGGAGTTAGAAGTCCTTGGAGCTGAACATACCCCATCCCTTTCCTCAGGTCTACGCACACAAGCCTGCTCAATGTTTAAAAAGAGAACAAACCCATCTTTTTTTTTTTTTTTTTTCCTTAAGCATCCCATGGTTAAATCAAAATAATCTTATCTACCTGTTTCACACCAGGAGTTACTGTGCAAGTCTCCCACCTTCCAGACTAACGTCCTGGCTGCCAAGTAATTGTTAGTCCAAGAAAAGGACATGTCCCTCTAAACAGTCCCATGGAGCTATGCCCGAAGAGGCTAACAAACACCTGGGAGGACTCTGACCGGCACCGAAGGATCGGTCCTTGCCAGTCCAGCACCTCACGGGGTCCCCATGTTCCTCCTGCCTCTGCTAAAAGGCAACATCAAGGTTTCTGTCACTGAGCGGAGGACTACGCTCTGGAGGCAGGTGTTGAAGCAGATAAACTCCCAACCATTTCAAATGATTGGAAACAGGGATCATTACTGGGCCAAGCACCAGGGGAACACTCATCTCAGGGACACGCGTACCTGGGAGAGAGCACTGAGCAAAACTACATAGCACAGGGGCTAAGTAAGCACTGCTGTTGCTCCAAGGCCTGTCTGACCAGCAGTGACACAGCTTACAGGGTCCGCTGGCATAAAGGTCCTCATCTTCCTGTCAGGAAAAGGAAAATCAGAAAAGCCTATGAGGAAACCAGGCAGGACGTGTTTAAATACTGTAAGAATGAGAAGCTGCATTAGGAAAGGAAGACGAATATGGTACAAGGCAGAAAGCTAAAGACCTGGGGAAACTCAGCTTAAGGAAACATTCTCATCACTAGGTCTGTGTTTGGATGGGAGGGAGAGCAGCACTAAGGCAGGGAAGGCTCAGACAGCCGGAGCGCGTGCGGGGAGCCAGGGACGCCTCAGGCCGCGCTTGCCGCAGGGTCGCCGGGCGCCCCGGGTGGATGAAGCGCGGTTGGCGGGAGCAAGCGGGTGCTCCTGCTAGGGACGGGCTCCTCCTCCTGGCCTTCACAGCCTGCCTGCCCCGCCGAGACGCTGCGGTTCCAAGCGCGCTCTGCCCTCGCTCCAAACCCAACCCCGGGCGCTGTAAGGAGCCTCCGGCAGGCAGTGGTGAAAAACCGCTAGCATAATGTCCTCACCTGCCCCCGCTATTTACAGCAAATTGTTTAGCATTTCTGTGCTCAGTTCTCTTAAGAAAACAAATAGAGCAGCTACTTATTTGTACCTATGACTTCATTTAAAGTTCAAAGTCTTTTCAAACAGGAAGAGTTCAACAAACATAAAATATTATGACAAGCCCTACTTAGGCAAAACTGCTAATACCTGTGAAACAGCGTATGTCATTCAAACTTGTGCCCATGCCAGGTTTTACATCTCAGCAAATAGAAGGATCATTAGCCCCCACACGTGAATGGAGAATGCCCAGTCTTAACACAGGCGCTTACCAGCAGCTGAAGAAAAGCTTTGCACTGAAAACCAGAGACAATAGCTGTTAGGGAAAGCCCTTTTGGTAGGCAGCACATCCACGTGTCTCTGACTGCGCTCTGCCCCAGAGGTAACTTCCTGCCCACTTCCTCCCTCTCAAGCCACAGCTGCACAGCATTGAAGTGCTAAAGAAAATCAAATGCCTCCCTCCTTTCTACAGGAGGGCATCTGAGCAGAGGGCAGCCATCCCTTTGGTTTTTCCCCAAGGCTTTGTGGTGCAGACAGGAGTATGTTTAGCACTACAGACTGAGGAACAGTTGTGTTTCTGCCTACCTTTATAACAGGGCGTGAAGGGCTTTGCAGTTAAAGACATTATCGGAAGCAGGATTTTCCTGTCAAATGGCTGCTGAGGAGACAAAGAACTAGGAGAAGCAATTCCAAGATTGCACAATCTCTCACAGAAGTGAGAGGATAAAGAATTCAGTGAGGCTTCCTTCCCAGTCTGTCAAAGCTGCATGGAAGATGTGTATGGAATTTGGTACATTAAAAATGACCAGAATGCAGAGTTAATGCATGATGATGCGAGGAAGAAAAATAGAAGCACAAAACCTTCTCCTGAATAGGCAGAGAGGAGGCTGGAGGCCTAGAGAGGCATAGGGAGCAGGACTCTGTGGAGCTGCGAAGCTGCATTTCCAGGGCACTGACTGTGGGACCCTGCCTTTTTTTCCCACAAAACCAAGGACTCACCAGTTTGAAATGATTCCCTGAGCTAGCCAAGCTGAAAGGAGCGCAGGTCAGAGGTGCAAAGGGGTGGACACACGTGAGCTTGTCCGAAGCACTGTGGCACAAAGGCAGCTCTGGAGCTTGTTCGGCTCCACACAACCAGCTCCACGCAGCCAGCACCCGGCTAAGGCAGAGGCCTTCAGCAAGGCAGGTGGTTCCCCAGATGGATGCAGGAGCTCTGCCCATCCTCTTGGGCCTGGGAAGGAACCACTCATCTGGGGCAAAGACACACCAAACAGCTCAGGAACGTGATTTCAAAATGGCAGATAAATATATTTCCAACAAAACTTGTTCCCAAGCCTGTTTGCCCAGTCAATTCAGAGGGTATTTAAAGAGAAATTAGGTGTGTTTGGAGAGCAGTACGCTCTTAAATTACTCTAACCAAGATAACGATCATCAGAGAGAACAGCGCTTAAACCAGGCAAGGCTCCAGCAGCTGCACAGCGGCAGCCTGAACTCGGCCTCCCTCCATGGCACATCCTGATGTGAATCCCATCTGGAGGCAGCTCCTGTGCGCGGAGGTGGCACCCAACGCGCCCTGCGCAGCCCTGGCCCTCCTGCCCCGGTGGCTGCCTGGCCTCCTGCTCCGGGTGGCGCCGCCTGGTGCTCCCCACAGCAGCTCCCGACTCTAGGAACAGCCTTCCTGCCCGCGGAGCTTCACGCTGCTGCTCCAAACCAGAGATTTGCTGCTCCTTTCCGTGACCACAGCACTGTGGGGCCAACAGTGAAGAGCCAGGCCCTTTGGACTGCAAGACATGACAGAGCAGAACAACCCTGAAGCTGCACTTAGCTCTGAACACTATTAAACCCTTTATCAGCCTCTGTATTAGACAAAGTATCATTCATCTTCAGCAGTTTATTCATATATATCCATATTCAATTTTTTTAAAAAAGTTGTATTAGTCCAAAAGTCAAGTTTTATCTACGTATAAAGTACACTTCGATGCAATAGCTACTAAAGCAAAAGTATTGTGTAAGGTTTGGAAAAAAAATCACTTCTGGGAGAAGTGTAAAAGTTTTAGGACATGCCAGTCACTCTTCTGATTATTGCATAGGTTCTAAAAGTCACATTTTTAAATTTTTGCCCTTATGTAACAAAGTAAACCTGTGACATCTTTTTTCTAATAGAGACAACCAAGCTCTACAGCCAGTTTAAAGACAAGTTAGATTTATTTTAATGCAGAATAAGGAAAAAAAAAACTGTGACAATGTTTACATTCAAACAGTCTGCTATGTTAACTTTGATATTCATGCCACACACACGCTCTCATAGCCAAGTTTTTCCTACTGGCTAACATCACACACTAGGTATTGTAGCCATGACACGGCTATAAGCGAGCACCAAAGTCAATGGAGCTGCTTTCTAGCCCAAATCACTTTGTGCAGCTGCGGGTTCTGAACGGATCTGAAACGTCACACCGAGCAAGCCAGACACCCGCCTGTCAGGACGCTTTCCAACACATCTTGACTATCTGACTTCGCTTCCAAATAAGCGGAATTTTGAACTTCCATGTCTTCTTACTTGCACTGGTGACACCATGGGCTGGGCTGTAACCAGATTCCTGAGTGTTTACGGAAAGTTGACACGTTTGTCACCTTCATTCTGCTCAGGGACACTACCAGAGGACACACATACAGCTGCTTTAGCTCCAGCCAACATGCTTCTCTTCTGGGAGCAGGTTTATGAGCAAAGGTGATCTAGTCGCATATTGTGGGAGGACGGATGCGCTTTTCTACAACGGTGCTTTAACAAGGGTACTCTCTGGCTCTTCTTCAGAAAGCTCTGCTGGAATCTGCATTTGGGAAGTGGCTTTCCTGTCAGCCGGGGGCAAAACTTCTACTCTCTTTGTACGCTGGTGATTGGTCTTCACAAATCTAAGCAGGTTAAGAATAGCAGCTGGTGTAATTCCAGGGATGCGGCTGACTGCACCAATCTGTGTGGAAACAGCAACAAGGTAAGCTAGTGAGAAATTAAATAAACCCAGCATATTTTCCTCTCCCCAGTCTCCTCTCCCTTCCGTACCCCTTGACACGACATGGAAGGGTCTCGCTTGGGTTCATCTTACCGTCTGGGGACGATTGAGGTCGAGTTTCTCCCGCACTTCTGCTGACAGAGATGCATCAATGGCAAAATAATCCAGGCCCTCTGGCAGTCGGAGGGCTTCATCTCGCCGCACTTCCTCTATTTCCTGCTGCTGGTTGGCTACACACCACTCATAAGCCGCTGGAATGGGGGATCAGGGAAACAAAAGGACCAGATATAGACAAGCACACAAACGGGCCATTTCCAGGAAGTGTTGGAAGGAAATGAACAATTCCAGTGGGACTGCTGAAAACATCTACAGGAAGGTTTCAGCTAAAGAGCTTCACAGACACCACTACTTTGGAAGAAGTCACACCCCTTAATTTATTACAGGAACTGAGGCCTTTTCTCTCACTCCAGGAGAGGACAGTCTCTTTGGCGGAGGAGTAAAGAGGAAAAACCCAGCAGTGAGCACAGATACGTAACTGCTTTCCCACCGCAGAAGAGAAACAGTGGTGCCTGTGTAGGGCTGTGGTGCAGGGTAACAGATGCCTCCTCTGGTAACAATACCCCACTCCATTAAGAAACTACGGGAATTCAGAGGAATTAATGGGCTGGCTCCCCCTTACTGCACAAACCCTGCATAAATCTCATTAGAAGATCATGACCCTTGTACCCTACCTTCTATTTTCAACCTCTCTGCCAGTTCTCTCCACTCAACAACCTTTCCCAGGGGTTCTGGGAGAGCCCTTGCTAGAATCTCCATGTTGACCTCTGGATACCGAAGGACGTCAAAGGCACTGCGGAAAACAAGAGTAAGTTTATACTGTATGAAGGATTCCCACTTGCTTAACAGATTTACAGCTATTCCCAGCTTAAACTTAAAACACCTCAGCATAAGCCTGAACAACTGCGGAGCAAAGCTCACCTCCCTACATGGAAGAGTTCAGTTCTTGGGGGAAGGCTCTTTAGGATGAAGAGCAAGGTAAGACTAAGTATATGACAGCATCAAAGGGAACCTTTCAAGCAGATGAGTCAGTGAGGTCTCAGTCACTGACTTAGAATGAAGAGAGAGGTGAAGCAGAGGATGGGTAAAGGATGCAAGGGCCATGATGTCCTGACACTGTCCCCAGCTGGCCTGGAATGTCACAAAGCATCACCATTCTGTGGCACTCTCAGTATGGGCAGCAAGAACCACCTGGGCCAGGGCAGTATACGCTGGGACACAGTGTCAAGCCAGGAGATGCAGTGTAAGAGAAATACCAGCACTCTGCTGCTGCTATAGGTAAAGAGGCATCAGTCCCTGGAGGGGATCATGCTGGAGTCCCCAAGGTAAGTCCTGACAGCCTCAGGGAACAAGATGGGCAAGAGGCATCAGTTTTGGAACAGATTTCCTAAAGCATGCTTAAGCCAGGGAAGGAAGTTTATGCTGTAACCTTTACCTGAGAGGTGACTTTCGACTGCTGCTAATGGAAACTTCTGGTATTAACTGGGACCACTTGGATATACTGAACTGAAGGGACTTCAGCATTGCAATTCCATCCTCTAAAGCAGCCCTCATCTTAACCGATCGATCATAGCGCTCCTGAGACACAAATCCAGCCTCCTTAAAACCTGCGGAGACAGGGAGCATGTGAGACGAGGGTCTGCCCGGAGCCGGGCAGGGTGTTCAGAGCCGAGGCGGGCGCGGGGGCGCACCTCTCACAGTGAGCCTGGCGTCGGCGTTGTCGGGCCGCAGGGACATGCGGAACTCCACGCGGCTGGTGAACATGCGGTAGGGCTCGCGCGTGCCCAGCGTGGTGAGGTCGTCGATGAGGACGCCCACGTAGCCCTCGGTGCGGCTCACCACGAACGGGGGCCGGCCGCGAACCCGGAGGCAAGCGTTGATGCCGGCGATGACGCCCTGCAGAGAGCAGGCACAGAACGTGCATTGCCGTCCTCACAGCTAAAACCCCAGTCTGCCTGCCCTGGAGAGCTGTGAGCCCTGGGGAAACACAGCAGCCAATGCAACGTGTCTAGGCAGTTTCTTCCCTGTGGTAACTGCAGGGGTCCAAAGAGCTTTTTGAACTTTGCTGACATGACAAGAGACCATTCCCACGTGTTTTCAGTGATAGCCCTCACGCAGTCTCCAGGCTGCAATATCTGGCAGTTCTTACAGTTACTTCTCTTACTGCAATCTCAGTATCAGCAGCAATACTAAAGATGCAGATACTAAAGTGTAAATACACTTTAGGCAAGTCTGAAACTTGCAGTAACAAGTAATAATATCTCATACGCACAACATGGGTTTAACAGGCCTGCACACCCAGGCTGAACGCCAAGGCAGCATCTCTCAGGTACTCTCAGATTCGCCCACCTGAGCTGCAGCTTCTTCATAGCCTGTAGTGCCATTTATCTGTCCTGCAAAGAAGAGCCGCTGAACAAGGCGGGACTCGAGAGAAGCTGTCAGCTGCCGCGGGTCCAGGAAATCATATTGTACCCCATAGCCTGTACCAAACACAGACAGATGCTATGGGACAGACTGTGAGGGTCCCTATTTCTCAAGGAAAGCACTCCGTCACGCAGAGTGACTAAAGTTAACAATTTTTACTTACAATTTAAGAACAATCAAGCAAAAAACTCTGGAATTAACTTTGGGAATTAACTTTGTTTCATATTTACTTTGTTTTGTTATGCTCTAAGCAGAGGCTAATTTCTACTGCCTGGTAACAATTACAACCAATAAATTCAGACTTACTCCTATCTCTCACCTGGCTGTAACATCTCGGCTTTCTCCAAGCCCGGAGTGGATCTGATCACCTGCTCCTGGAGCTCAGGTGGCAGTGTCATTGACATGCCCTGCGGGTAAATGACATTGGAGTCCAGGCCTTCAGGCTCCAGCCACACCTGGTGCTGGCGGTTTGGGAAGCGCAGAACCTTAGATTCAAGAGAGGGACAATATCTGCAACAAGAAATAACCATAAGCACCACCTGGCATGGAGAAAACGTAACTTCCCAGGAGCAAAGCAGGGAAGATCCAGCCAGTTTCAGATATGCTGTCAGCTCATGACACTGAGCGCCCTGCATGAGGCCACTTACTCACCGGGGCCCCTTTGTTGTCTCCTTCACATGGTCGTTCACGTGGAGGTTATCCAGGATAATCTGCTGAGCCTTGGGGCTGGTGTGGGTCAGGTAACAGGGGAGCTGATCTTCTGGCTGAAAGAGTTGGTCAAAGCTCTCTTAAGTTGATCCAAGCACAATGAGTGCTCCGCACTTGCTGAAGAACTCTGCTCCGCTGAGGATCTCCACGGGCTTGTCATGACAACCTGCTCTCAATTCCTTGGGAGCTGGGTAGCATCACTGTACCCATCACACACACACTGTATCTCCAACAACTGGGGAGCTTCAGCAACGTGCCCCAAAGCAGACCAAAACCAGCGGAAAACACAGCCTGGGAGTCCAGGATTCAAGTTATAATCTAGACATGTTCCTATCTACAGGATGGACACTCTCAGTAAGCAACTGATGGAGTCACAGCATTCAAATTAACCACAGAAACTTGAAGCCTGAAGTAAGTGTGGTTAAGTGCTGATTGTGCAACAATAGAAGAGTTTGGGGGAGATAAAGCAAATCTCTCCAAACCCTAAAATTAACACGGAAAATTCAAAACAAACAGAAACAGTGTAAAGTATTTCACTGTTTCTTCTGAACATAAAAGCAACAGGCTAACATTCAAATTGCACCACTGCACTTCAGTCTTCCAAACCTCTTCTACAAACATTGAGGATCAAACAACATTACTTTTATGCCCTTATAATAAGCGATTAAAATTCCTATATGCTGTGTGGCAAATTACCTTCTAGTACTTAATTCCATGCTGCTTAACTGCATAAGAACACTATTGACTTCCTAAGCTTTTCTTGGGAAAATGCCGTTTCCTCTGCACCTGTTTAGGCACTTTCTCCCTGGTTGCTTCCAAGTACGAGAGTCCCCGGAGCACTGCCCCGATTCCTGCCCAGCTACAGGCGCCTGTGGCGAGCGCTGCCCCACCTTGATCCACACGGCCTCGCTGAGGAAGCTGAAGGGCACGGGAGGGTTGTCGGCCGCGCGCTCCGCCAGGCGGCTGAAGTCGATCGTATCCTTGGCAAGTCTCGGCGGCGTCCCGGTCTTCAGGCGACCCACAGCAAATCCCAGGTTCTCCAAGGTCCGCGCCAGCCCAATGGCCGGCTGGTCTCCGAGCCGCCCGGCCGGGTGCGTGTCCAGGCCCATGACGACCATTCCCCTCAAAAATGTCCCGGTGGTCAGGACGACGCTCCCAGCACTTACTCTGCTCCCGTCCCCTGAAACAGCAAGTTTTCAGGCATGTGTGTATTTTAGCATCAACGAAGCCCCGTAATTCCCCTCGTATTCTACGTCTCACACAGAACACCCACTCTTGCTAACGATCCTTAAAGGCTGGCTTGCCAGGCCAGCAAGTGGCAACAAAACCTGAGCCTGCCAATAAAAGGATACGATGTCTGCAGCCTGTTCCTACCAAACACATCACAGAGTGGAGATTAGAACCGCTAATCCACAGGAAACAGAATAGAACCTACGTAGCCTCCCAGTACCTAACTGATCCAGTTATCGACCCAATTGCATTTTTTGCAGATATTAACCTGATTTGGTCTGCAGTCGGTCTTCTCTGTAGGCTAACCCCACTTTCTAGCTGGTGAACCTGGCATGCGGACCCTGAAGGTTGCTCACGGTGCCGAGCCGCGGAAGGGACTCACTGACCGCTGCTACCTACCCAGAACGACTCCTGCGACTCGGCACTTCCCGGGATGGTCGGTCTCTGCCTCCGTCAACAGCAGATCCTCCACAGACCCCTCACGAACCGTCAGCAGCGGCGTGTTGAGGATTTCTTCCTGTCGCGAAAGGAGTTACTGCGCCAACCTGGGAAGCTCTGGGGTG